TAGTAATGAACAAAAGTTACCGAGGGTCAGACTTGGAACAGTCAGACTGTATTCAAAATCACCTTTTTCTTCACAAGGCCCATGCTGTTTAATAAATTGTGTGTGCGAACCGTCAAATCCTTCTTACCTGGGGTTAGGTTTCTCATACCTGAGGTCTTCAAACTTTTTGCTCTCAAAAGCTTGAAAAGACTGCTGTAACATTCTCTATCTCTTTGCACATTTTTAAGTCAACATCTGAACACTTCGTACAACAAATCTATTTTATATCTTCAGGCTTTAAATACCTTTTCGTCCAAATCTTAGAGTTGCAGTTTTGCCTTATTCAGGTCAGAAATTCTTCACAAAGTGAGAGAGCAAAATATCTGGCCAGGTATTATATTAGACTGGCTTTCTCTGTCAGGAGAAGGCTGACTTCATTTTTATTTTATTTTGTTTTATTTTATTTTATTTTATTTCATTTTATATTTCATTTATTGCAAATCAACATGGTTTAATGCACGTCTGTGCTACCTCACGTATATATTCGAGAGAGAGAAGGAACATGAACAGACAGAGAGAAGGCATGGAGCCTCGTGGTGGCTTTCTTTGCTTTACTGCCCTCTCCAGAAATCTCAGGAAATCTACATGGTCCCTAGATTTGGTGGCCTGGAGGTGTTTACCCCTGGAGCAAGCACACAAAAGTTAGGGCCCAGTGGGACTTTGCTTTCACTTTCTTTCGTACAGTGGTTGTCGGGCCTTTGGCTGGGAAAGAGGACGTGGCGAAGGGCACTGGGACCACGGCAGCTTTCTCTTCAGTACCGCAGTGCTATGAGAGGACATGTGGGAGCTGAAGATTTGAACGCTGATTTTGTTACAATGATCCATGCCCGTGAGCCTCTGGAAAGTCTTCATATCTTCATATTTGTACCCAGCATCGCCGGGACCCAGGTTTAAGGACCACACTGCCTTCCACCCCCTCATGTGCCTAAGTTAAGTCTGAGACATGCCCCAGTGGGTCTAATCGCTATTCTTACCTTAGGTCTGCAAGTTTGTTGAACATTTACAATGTCCTGGCAACTTAGCTATGGAAGTTTGTTTTCCTGAAAACCTTGTTGTAGCTAATTACGTGTGTCATCCAAAGTCATGTAGCAGAGGACTCAGGAACCTGACTGAGGTGCCTAACTCGGCTGTTTTTTCTTTTTTTCTTTTTTTTTCTTCCTACCACAAGGGCATAAATTGTACAAGACGTGGTTGGCTATCAAGTGAGTTAGGGGAGGATTTCAGCAGAAACCTCAGCCTTTATAGACTGTTTCTGATCAAAGGCCACCAGCCCCCAGATCACCTTGGGCTGCCTTCACCTGTTAGGTCAGTTTAGCCAGAATCCCTCCTTCCCCTTCATGCCTCCTCTCCGTACTTTTCCATCTACTGAACCCCCTCCCCCACTCCCAACGCCCCCTCCCACTCTGATCCTTGGCTATATAGTGCCGCCTTTCCTGTGTTTAGAGCCCAATCTCCTTCCCCTACTATAAAACCCAACCATAGTAGCCACTCTTTGAATAAAGTCTTCCTTACTGTCTGTACAAGCATCCTGAGTAATTGTTTCTTTAACACCCCAGTAAGGCTTGCTTTATTTTAGATAACTGCGTGAAGCACTTTGATTTACATACCGAGATCTGCGTAACATTTTATTAATTAGATATGGTAATTAATAAAACGATGGCTTGTTAATGCATAGGACAGTTTTCTAGTGTCTTTTTTTGAAATTTGCTACATAGTGGAATAAAAGATTCAATAGCTCTTAAATAGCCTTTATTGAAAAACGATAAATTATCTCCAAATTACTAAGTATTTTGAAAATCATTTTCCTTTAAAAATTGCTGGCCAGGATTCCAGAAAAACTTTTCATTTTAGAGAATCTCCCTACCTTTTGCTTTTCTTTCCACTTATGTCAGTCATTTCATTTGTTTAATCCTAGACAATGAGAAATCAGTGTTACTTTGACGTTAAAGACATTCATGTTTTTCTTTCAATTTTTAAAACTATGTTTTGTATTCGGTAGTATCTTAGACTAACGTAACAATTTCCAGTTTTTTGTTAATTAAAAATTATTCATTTTACTGCCTCTAATCATTTGGATAAAAAAGGAATAGTACCTAATTATACTCTAACTTCCCACTTATTGTTTTACTTTTAACTGTCATTTTTTTTTTCCACTTTTCAAAAATTGAGATATAACTCACATAGCCTTAGCCCTTTTAAAGTGTACGAGTCTGTGGTTTTTAATATGCTAACTTCCTTTTAAGATAGCATTTAGGGTCACCTTTTTAAAGGGCAGCTACAGCAAA